AGTGATACATTGGCACAGCTATTTCAGTGCCATTGTAGCGCATTTGATAAAGATGCTCTGTGCTAACAGGACAGAACTCTTCCATTGGCTAATTACTCCACCACTGCAAAAAATGGAACAATGTCAGCAGAAGAGTGCCTCTCGCCAGCATAGCCCCAGTGTGGACAGTGCTAAATTTGCTGTAACTTTTATCATTCAGGTGATGTCAATCATGTCAACCTAAGCAGTAATGTAGGCCTGCCCTCAATCAATAATATAAGTAGTATGCAGTGTTGTTAGAACTGTGTAAGTCCCAGGAGATTATAGAGACATGGGTGGGGGGGGGAGGGTGAAGTAATAAATATAATTTTTGGACAAACTTCTAAGACACATGCTTTTGGTTTTACAAAGGACTCTTTTCCTAAAGGCAACAGTGCATATGCACTTGGGAAATCGTTAAAACCTAAAATTACACTGATAAAATTTTCAGATGACACCAAAATTAGAGGGGTGGTAAATAATGAAACACTCTTTGATGCAGAGTGTTGTAGATCTTCTTGTAAACTGGGTGCAGTCCAATACTGAGTTTTATCACAGCTTAATGTAAAAATACTCATGTAGGAACAAAGAAGGTAGGCCGTATTTACTGGATAGGGACTCTAGCTTAGAAGTTGAAGCTAGACATATTCAGACTGGAAATATGATGCAATCTTTAGTGGTGAGTGCAATTAGGCTTGGGAACAATTTGCCAAGGGTTGTGATATATGATGTGATTACAGTCTGTATGATTTATATAGGAGACAATTTTTGAGCAATGGGATCTTCAACTGAGTAGAGAAAAGTATAACATTATCCAAAAGCTAGAAGTTGAAGCTAGACATATTCAGACTGGAAATATGGTGCAATCTTTAGTGGTGAGAACAATTTCCCAAGGGTTGTGATGGCAATTACAATTTTTAAATGAAGATAAGATGTTGTTTTTTCTAAAATCTTCTCGGGGAATTGTTTTGAAAGTTCTATGGCCTGTGTGTACCGAAGGTCAGACTAGATAATCACAGTGGTTCCTTCTAGTCTTAGAATCTGCGAGGTTTATACTGCAAAAGATTAGGTGTCAAGCAAATGTAGGAACCGACATGATTTTGTGGCAACTGAGACGGTCCAGAGGGACCTAAGCTTAGGTGCCTGAGGTGGCAGTAAGACATCTACGTCTCCTTGTGCACCTAGCCCCAAGTATTCATTTAATTGATTTGTGAAGGAATTTATTCCTTTTGTTTTCTTAATGGTAGGGCTAGTGTTAGTTACTTCTGAAAACTTGCAATAAAAATCAAGAGCTAGCATGGAAGGTGCAGAGCAGAATATCACATTTGAATGCAGCATCCGGGCTCATGTACTGGAGTGCTAATACTAACACATAATTAAGAAACCGATGTGCAGAGCACAGCAGAATATGAAGATTTAGTACCAATATCATGGATACAACAGCACTTTGTACAAATCTAGAACATTGCCATGATCTCATCACTAGCATAATAGATAATGCATGTTCTGCAGCATAGAGTGTTACGTTAAAAAAAATGAAAAAGGGAAACAGTAAAACAGTTCCCAACAAAAATAATCATTCTGAAAACCATTTCCCTCTTGCATTCAGGAGGTGGAATTCTTACGCTAAGACCCAGATCCGTAAAGCTGTTCAGGAGCCCAATTCCAATTGAATGCAGCGAGGGTCAAGCACCAAAGACTAGTGGGGGAAAAAAACGTAAAAACAAGAAAATCGTCCTGTAGCACTTTAGAGACTAATCCAAAAATACGTAATAATATCATGAGCTTCCATGGGCGCAGCCCACTTCTTCAGATGACAAATATGAAGCGAGAAGTCCAGGGGTACAAATATAGAGCAGAAAAAGAGGGGAAGGGGAAGGAGGAAAAACTGTCAATTAAAGTGTCCGTGCTAAATGAGGCTAATAGAGTGGGCTGTAAGTGCCTGATACTTAGCTTTTGATGTAATTTGGGTGTTGAATATAACAGCCCATCCAAGACTTGTCTTTGTTCAGTCCTTGGGTGAATGTATCAGATTTGCATATGAAGGCCAGTTCCACAGTCTCTCTCTCAAGCTGGTTCCTGAAATTACTTTGTATGAGGATAGCCTCTTTTAGATCCATTAGGAAATGTCTGGGCAAGTTAAAATGATCCCCAACAGGTTTCTATGTGTTACCACTTCGAATATCTGATTTGTGTCCATTAATCCTTTGTTTTAGAGTACAGCTAGACTGCGGGGGATTTTCGGGATACCTCTGGCATCCCGAAAACACTCTTCCACATCCAGGGAATGCATTTGCTCTTCCACTTTTTTTTGTGGAAGAGCAAACATGCTCTTTTGGAAGCCCCCATCTTCCTCGTATCCACATTTTGCGTACCTTTTTCTGACAAAAACTCGTAATCTAGCCATACCCTAATGCTGTACAGCTTGGCCAATATACATGGCAGCGGGGCATTGCTGGCACTTGATGACATAGATCACATTAGTGGAGGTGCAGTTGTATGAACTTCTGATGTGGTGGCTTATGGGGTTAGGTCCTATGATAATGTCGCTTGTGTAGATGTGTGGACAGAGTTGGCACCAGAGTTTATTGCAAGGGTGGGTTCCTGGGTGAGTATGATGGAGATGTGTTGTATGGTAGCTGGAAAGAATTTGATTCAGGTTAGGGTTTGTATGTAGGCAAGGGTTGGCCTGTCCCCTAAGCAGTGTTCCCTCTAAGCTGTGCAGCAGCATAGTTTCACAGGTGATTAATGAGCCCCGCCCAGACAGTCAGCTCCATGCATGGAGCCCTTAGCCTCTGACTGGGCAGGGATGATTAAACACCTGTGAAGCTATGCTGTCACGTAGCTTAGAGGAAAGACTGTCCCCAAAACCTGTGAGACTGAGAGGTCCTTTTCCAGCGTAGACTGTATGTGTGCTTGTTTTGCTTACCTAACCCATGTAAGAAATGGTGCTGTGTTTCAGTGTGCCACATTCTCACCAATGGAAAAAGGAAAACCAAACAGAAGTCACAGCAGATACTTACCAGGAAGCGGGGAGAGGAGAAGTGATAGTAGTCGTTTGCAAAATGACCACTTTAGGGCTACAGCTTTAAGTTGGGAGGGAGGGAAAAGGGAGAGAGTTCCTGTACATAAGCAACCCAGTATTGAGCAACCCAATTACTAAGGAAGGTGTACTGGGGAAGCAACTGTGTATGTGTTGTGTATATTGTCAATGGATAGATCCTCATATTGAAGTATTTAAATTCATTTGCATAGCTCCCTGGTTTAATAAACCTTGTAAACCAATAACAAATCTGCTAAATCTCCTGCAAGGTGGAAAACAGCTTACTGTATTTGCACCAGAATGCAGGTATTTCCTTCCAGGGGCCAAATCTCAAGCTGACTATCCTCTCTGATCAAGAGGCAGCATGTGAGTAGGGAGCAGGGTCATCTGCAGTAGCACTTCACAGGGTACAACATGCCCATCTTAGCTTCTGTGCCTGGCCTGTGGGGAAAGAAAGGGAGCCCTGGTTCTAACCATGTTCTTGTGGAGGGAATGACAGGCACAGAAACCTCTGCTCTTGCTTCCACTTGCAGAGGCACAAACAGGGCATGTTTTTTACAGTTGCTTCATCTGCCTAATCTTCTGCTCTGCTAGGATACAGAGCAGTCTGGCAAAACCTGACTTAAAAGAACAAAGAACTACTCCTTTATATGCAAGGAGTTTCTTAATTAGCCTCACATTTGTCAACATTTTTTATAAACGATAAATAACAGATAGCCTGACCTCTGGTTAATGTATACAACATTTTGAAGGTGAGTGGAGCATAAACATACAACTAAACAGAAAGGAAATCAGGAATAACAGAATCAAAACCATTGTCATGCTGTATGATAGTATTTGATTGAGAATGACCCTAAATATGTGATTCTTTTTCCAAGCAACATGCAATTTCTAATACATTTTTCTTCAACCCCTACTTTTTCATGTTTAGCAAAAAGGCACAACCTATCTAACCTCTTCTTAAAGGCCAGAGTATCTAAATTCTTCTCGGGTACCTCTCGGCCTCGAGAATTTAGGGCTACTAACAGTAGTTTTTTAATCAGACTTTTAAGTGAAATGACCATATCAATAGAAAAGTGATGACTGTAGAATGATCAGATTTTAGTATAACTTCACTGGAAAATTTAGTTATATTATTTTTTTCTGTTCCTGCAAGAGCCTTGTTTAAGTTGACTCTTATGATAGACCAGAGATGGTCAAACTTGCTGACCCTCTGACTCACATATGACAACATTCAGAAGTTCAAGAGCCAGGGTATGTCGGTCACGGCTCAAGGCTTCAGTCTTGCTCCTGCTCAACCCTGAACCCCTGGAATAAAGCCCTGAGACCCCCTAGCCTTTACTCTACCAGCCTGCTGCAAGGTAGAGTTCCTGAACTACTCCACAAGTATGATAGAACTCAGTGAAAGAGCGACAAGTGATTAGTGAGCTACCATTTGACAACCCTCATTGGGGACCATGGGCTCCTAAACTGTGGGGCATGCCCCCCTGGGGAGCACAAAGAAATTCCGGGTGTGTGTGTGAGGCAATCCAGCCCCTTTTCTCCCCCTCCCCCAGTCAATTTTTTGGGCCCTGGTCAGTTCCTTTGGTTGGTTGGTTGGTTGGTTGGTTGGTTGGTTTGTTTGTTTTTTGCTCAACAAGTTTTGCTGCTATAGGAGGTGGTGCATGAGGGTTTCTTAATAATCAAAAAGGGGGTGTGATGCCAAAAAGTTTGAGAACGATTGTGATAGACTATACTTGAATCTGGAAACATACAAAAAGCAAGAGAGTTAAAATTCCATTTTATTTATAAATTTTTCCAAAATGTATTTATAGCTTGTTTGGTACTTTGTCACTTTAATGTTTATTTGGAACTAACAAGTGCATGACCCATTGTTGCCTGCTCGGTAAAACAAAAAGAACCAGCTATTGACTTACTTTCCTATTTTTATATCCATTAGAAGAATATGCAGAAATAATTTCCATTAAGAAAGAGAAAGGTGAGTTTGTAATTGGTTGACTTCCTTGCTGCAAATTATTGTTCTTTATAACAAAGAGCATCATCTGGAAATTTTGTTGGATAGTCATCTAGTCATTTTCAGAATTGTCAAGTGTATCTAGCACGGTTATCAAGTGTAATATTGAGCAAGACAAAGAACTAACTTTCCTGTGCATCAAGCAAAAAGACCAGAGAAGACAAATCACTAGATTGAATGCACTGGCCTTTGTGACAAACCATTCTGTGCTCTTCCATTTGATAGGATTTGGCAGTCAATAAACAGATCTTGTATCTGAGTTTCTATTATAGGGAAGCCCTGCAGTTTGTTTCATGTTAGACTGTCATACTGACAAGCTAAACTTTCTTATATTGAATGGACAGGAAGAAAATAAGATACAGACATCAGAACATCAGTTCCATGAGAACTAATTTCTATCTAGTGCCAGCCTTTCTCTTTTCATTTCCCCAAACATATAATTGTCATTCCGCACCAACTTTAATTCCAGAGTGTAATTAACATTCAAATGCAGTTATAAAATTCAACATTCCTGACAGATTAGACATTTTACCTTTTTTCTTTGAGCTGAAAGAGCATACTCTTTAGAGCCTTTAAAATAGCTGATACGGTAATGGCAAAAAAGCATGACTGTAAAAGTGAGTCTCAAGTGGCACAAAGCTAGCAAAACTTTCCTACATGTGAAAGCCTGGGAAAGAAATATTTCAATATATGATTCCAATGTTCTGCAGGAATGATGGTGCTGGTCATTGGGAACAATTATTTACCCATCTCCAACCATGGACATTTGATGGAACTCTTGAGAGCATTCAGAGTGGGTCATTGAAGTACAGAGTCATGAGTGCTTGGATTCAAGGGCCTTTTAGCCACATACAGTGAAGCCATTCCAGGAAACAGATGACAGCTAAAGTAGGGTGACCAGACAACAAGTGTGAAACATTGGGACAGACAGTGGAAAGTAATAGACGTCTGTATAAGAAAAAGTCCCAAATATCAAGAATGTCCCTCTCAAATCAGGACATCTGGTCACCACAATAAGCTAAAGGGAACATAGGGTATGTCTACACTACCCTCCTAGTTTTCAAACTAGGAGGGTAATGTAGGCATACCGCACTTGCAAATGAAGCCCGGGATTTGAATTTCCCGGGCTTCATTTGCATAAGCGGGGCTCCGCCATTTTTAAATCCCTGCTCGTTCGAACCCTGTGCCGCGCAGCTACACGCGGCACGAACTACCGTTACTCCTCATGGAATGAGGGAAATTCAAATCCTGGGCTTCATTTGCAAGTGCGGTATGCCTACATTACCCCGCTAGTTCGAACTAGCGGGGTAGTGTGGACATACCCATAGCTAAGAAAAATAATAGATTTTTGTAAGAAAGCTGAATGTAATATGGACCACTTTCAGTTATACTATAAAAATCTCAGACTGTTCTGAACATCATGAATTGATCTAAAAAGCCCATTCAGCTTTTCTTCTTCATGACTCGGTCTAATTTCCTGCCATATTACTCCAATTTCATGCCATCATGATACAGTTGAAGTTAATGGAGTTATACAAGCATTAAACTGGAGCCACACAGTAGTGAATCAGGCTCACGATTTGGAAACAATGAATATTGACAAATTGTTTGTCTTCTGTGTTTTCCTAGCTCCAGTCCGCTTCTTTCAATGTGTCTTTCTAGATGGAAACAATGGATATGGATTACAATTCCCTATTACTCCAACTCCCAGCCATGAGAAGAGTCCTAGTCATCCAAAGACTTCAGGGCGGAAGTCAAAGAAAACAGGACAGTAAAGAGACATGAGACCCGTGGGGTGTTTTTTTGAGATTTTGCACTTTATCCCATCTACTGAGGTCCTCAGTATCTACAGTGGTACTTGTTACTGTAGAAATGTGATCTAGTAGATCTGACGCACCTGGGAAAGTGTCTTACTGAGGAGGGAAAAGAGGTGGTGGATGAACATTGTTCATCCAAATACTATTAACATTGTTCTTGAGGAAAAGCTGTGGTGTTGAAATAGTGTTTGTCAAATTGTGCAGTTTGTTTGTGCATGTGCATTTTCCTGCCTCTTCTGCTCTTCTTTTTTCCTCTACCAGTTCTGAATTCAAGTGCATCTATTTTCCATGTAATCATTTTAAAGAGCAAAAATATTAATGCAAGGCTTCTTTCAGCAACATTTTTTGCAAGATTACCTGGAATCCTAAATCATATCCTGTCAATATTCAATCAGATTACTGACAGGAAAAAGCGTTAGTAAATCTGAAAATGTGCTACATGACTACTGCTATTTTTATGTATAATTGACCAGTTTAGAAGGAAGCACACATACCTTTAAGCTGCTCAATGTAATACAGTGAGGTTTACTATTCAAATTATGTTAAAGATGAGTATTTACATTTACTTTGAAGGCAAGAAATAAAAACTTGCTATATATGCCTACTATGTGTATGTAAAATCTTACCACCTCACCTTTCCTCTCATTTTGAGATCTGGGGAAGTGAGCCAAGATGGGGCTGGGCAAAGGAGAGGTGAAGATCATGGAAGTATACTGTGAAGATCTCATGAGTGGGAAGGATTTTTTTTTAACTTCCTCTGTCTCTGTATGGACAATGTCATTATCAAGTCAGCATTAGACTGCAGATTGACCATGCTGGCTATCATGTGTTTTTAGAAAAAGTCAGACAGGAAGCTATATTATCAGACACGACTTGTGACACAAAATGAAATTTTCAAATAAAAATGTCAACATGATATAATCTCGATGCGATCAGCAAAAATTGGATAAATGTAAGAAATCTTGATGTTTAAATTTGCTAGATGAGACTGATGGCCTTATAAGTTATTATCTAGGTTTCCATCAAAGTGCATTGTATTATCAATTACTTTTAGAATGGGCATTGCAAGTAAACATACCAGGCCTCAGCCAACTTGTTTATTTCTTCGGACAGAATGAATTATCCATGTTAAATAAAAGAGATGTGCTGGTACTTGACCTATGTGAAGGTGTCTGATTGTAAATCATTGTTGTGATTGTCTGTACATGTCTAGCAATGTAAATAATAATGCATTTTTGCAAGCTGCTATTTTTCTTCCATACTATATTTATGAATTTATTTGGTGAAACATGTAGCTGTGACCCCAGTCTCAGTTACCATCTGAAATACCATGAATTGTAACCTGATAACTGGTTAAATAAATCTGCTCACATCTGTAAACCATTTTTGTGGGGAGGAGGTTAGTATAATTCAAGATATCATCATAACGTTGATGTTTATCTCAACAGGAAGATTGAATTACATGGGCTTCAGATAACTATGTCCCACAAGGACTCAGGTAATGGGATGTAGAGTTTTTCCTTTAGGTTACTGGGTCAGATTGATAATGAATGGAAATTATTACTTTCTGATTGATGTTTAGTGGACTATATGAAATGAGTACTTAGTCTTAGCATACGTTGTGTTATGCAGGTACAAGTCTTTCACAAATACCATCATATTACATGGATTTGACAGTCATTTAGAAATTCAACTACCATCTTGTGTCTAGCAGTTGTTCTTCCCATTTGAAGAAGGAGGAACACTGGGCCTCATTCCCTCAAGCGATCTTTTGTGCTCACCACAAATTGTGTAGTCCTATGGCACCTTAAAGCAGCCTTTCTTCTACAAAGGAATTTCACCACCCAATTACAGAGAGATACTGCAGAGCCATCTACAGATTTGACACTGTTACCCTGGGCTTGAATAAAGATGTTAACTGGTTAACACATTGCAAAATATACATATTGGTTTCTGTTATTTCCACTCCAACACATCTGATGAAGTGGGTCTTACCCTTGAAAGCTCATGATCCTATATATTTCTGTTAGTCTCTAAGATGCCACAGGACTACTTGTTGCTTTAAAGTTACAGACTAACATGATTCCCCCTCTGACACAAGTTGTGTGTAGTTCAGACTATCGTTACACAGGTGGCTGTCCTATATTTTTCCTACTAAGATTGTTTTAATGAAAGGACTATAACTTTCATAAAGTCATCTGTTTATGCAATTCAACTGATCAGTGAAATTATACAAAAGTTGTTTTTTCTGACACTTAATTTGCCTTTTTGCTCATGATGTCTATTTCTTCCTTTCCCATTTGATTTGGGAAGGACAAGCATTTTTTAAGAGCCTGTTCCTCTAACATTTCAATTAAGTATCAAATTGTCTCTGAAGAAGTAAAGCATTTGGTCTTTGCTTCATTGGACAAGCAGGGGCACTGACAACCTCCACAGCCCCTGGGCAAGATGGGGGCACCCAGCTCCATGCTCCTGGAAGGGATGCGTTCTCAGGTGGAAGGCATGGGACTGGAGGCAGCCAACTTTCTGCACCACTCAGAGCATGCCACACTACCCCCAGTCCTTAGTGCTGCCCAGAACAGCAATCATCTGCCCAGAACAGTGCCATGCAGCAATCCAGTGGTGACTTAAAGAGCCTGGGGCTATGGCTACCACCATTGCTGCAGTTGCAGGAATGGTGGCCCAGAGCCCTGGGTGCCTTTGAATCACCAGGCCCTGGGGCAGCTGTCTGTTTTGCCCCCCCCCTTTCTATTCCCCCCCCCTCTGTTTTATGATAGTGGGCCTGAGGATAAGTGATGTAAATCCGACCATTTCTTAATCTTGGCCACTGACATAAAAACTACTTAGTCAAAATGGCTGTCCTTATCCTTGGACTTTTATAAACTGCATTTATCTGAAATCTTAGCAACAAATTACTTGAATTGCATGGCTTTCCTTAAATCAGACTGAAATGTTATAAAAGGTATGCTTATTATAATCAGTTTTGGAAAATAAAATGTGATTTATCTGCCTCTGGCTATGGGATTTATTTATAAATTCAAGAAAGGAGAAATGGGATTTGTAAAAATAACTTGGTTCAACCACTTTGTAGATACACACCAACATTCTGATGATCAAGGGGTAAGGCATTTATAACTGCCAGTTAATTCCTGAGAGAGAATATTTCTGCATGGAAGATGTACTTGATGTACAGTTTCCTTTCAGCCTTACAAAGCAAGAGGAATCTTTTCTATCATACATCTCTTATGGATTCTACTTTGTTGTGTAGAAGGCTTAATGACAGATCTACATAAGAATCATGCAAATAATGAAAAGTATAATTTAAATGTCAATATGAAACATATTAAAACACAAATGTTCTTGCCAGTAACTAGTCTGTAGTCCACACAATGGGTTGTGTGGCCTCTTACCAGCAGACAGAGAGTGACAAGGGTAACAAAACTTTGTGATATCTGCTAGCTAGGTGGAAGCTTCCACTGAGGAGATTTTAAGTCTATTATTGTCCATCTTGTTGATACTGTCATTGACAGGATATAATTATTTTGTCTGCAAAATTAGACCTTTATTTTGAGAGGTGCTCTAGCTGAGATTAGTGGGAGCTGCTGGCATTCAGCATTGCTGGACTCAGAACACGTGGATTCGGTGGTAGTGTTCCAGCCAGAGCAGCCTACTGATCTGAGGCTCCTGCTCTTCGGAAGTAGTTATCATCCTCAACAGCCAAACCGTCTGCAAAAGTGAGTCCACTTTCAAGCTTCTTCCAGCACAGAGGCTGAAACCTTCTCTTAGAACATTGTAAAAGAGGCTGCTCTGCAGAAGAACCCGTTAAATAAGGGCAGGGCTGGATTAAGGGGGGGGCTAACTTGGCAGCTTCCCAGGGTGCCAACCTATGGGGGGCACCTGATTGAAGTGGTAAGGGGCGCCCAGGGGCGGGGCCACACATGCACCACGCGCCCAGAGGCAGAGCCACACATGCACCGCGTGCCCGTTGCCTGGGGCGCAAGTATGTCTCGGTCCGGCACTGGATAAGGGTTCTGTTTATAGTTACACGCTGGTTCTCTCTGGGGTCTATGAATCTTTGTCTCTCTACGGACAGCTCAAAACTAGATAATCACCTGTACTTAAAGATTGATGTCTGCTCTTCAAGAGCTGGTGTATCTACAGGTCCAATTTAGTATTGAGCAGGCAAACGTGTCTTCTTGTCAGAGCCATAGATCCTGGATTGTGCCACTGACCATTATTACAGGCTAACTATGGCTGTAAGAGTGGGTCTATACTGCACCGTTATTTCTAGATAACTAGCGTTATTTTGAAATAACAATGCGAGTGTCTACACAGCGTCTAATAAATTCTGTTATTTCAAAATACTTTCAAAGTAACAGACAGTTTATTCCAAAATCTGTAAACCTCATTCTATGAGGAATAATGCCTATTCTGAAATACCTATTTCAAAATAAGGTGTGTGTAGATGCTCCACTTCTGCTATTTCAAAATAGCCCCCACAAGGGCCATTTTAATTTATTCCTCCCCAGTGCTGCTAAACTGAGATAGCACGTCTACATTAGGGAAGCCTGCCTCGGACTAATTTTGAGGTTTCCCTGCAGTGTAGATGTGCTATTTCAAGAGAAGCTGTTTTGGAATAACTATTCCAGAGTAGCTTATTTCAAAATAGCCGTGCAGTGTAGATGTACCTTAGTAGTGGATTCTGTGTAGCCTGAACATCGGTGACATCCTACACTCCTCTGCACAGCCACCCTTATCCAGCCCAAGGATGCACTCAGACTGCCAGTCTCCTCGATAACCCTTTAAACTAGATGTTGCAAGAAAATGGGATTATCTTTGGTGCCCCCTTCTCTGGCAAGAGCATGGCTGCTGATAGGGAGTATAAAGGGGGCAGGTGCCCCGAGGCATGTTGATGTAAAGGGCCCAGAGTTCTGGACTGTTACACAGCAGCAGCAGTGACCGGAACCCCGGGCCCTTTAAAGCACTGCTGTAGCCCTGCACGGCACTGTCCAGCCAAAGCTGAGGGCCTTCCAAAGGGAGCTTCTAACTTCAACCCAGCTCAGGAGGTGGTCAATCGTTTTATCCATTTGCCAGAAACAAGAACAAGCAAAGGTTTCTAAATAGGAGACCAATGTTACCCATAGAGCTGACAGGATACAAGCCATTAGCAGCTCAGAACACCTGTTCATCCTGCATGGAGGGCTCCAAAAAAAAAAGCTGGTAAACTTTTGTACAGCCAAATAGGAGAAGCAGCAAATTATTCAGCTCTGTGTGAAAAGCTTTCCTTAGCCATCTGAGTTTGCTTAACAGACCAGGAGCTGCATCATGCCTTGAATTAGCAAAGGCAACTATATGTCTAACCCTATATATTTCCTGCCTCCACAACAGGCTAGATGTGTGGATTCCTGTGCATGTCTTTTTCTCCATGCAGCAGTGTGTCAATATCACTACTTATGTCTCATTGCCTGCCATATGTTGGTTATTGTTCTCTGTATTTCTATAGCATTTATTCAAACTAGGGACAGGAGGTAGCATTACCCTCAATCAGAACACACAAATTATTGGACAAGATTAGCAACTAAAAGAGTGACCTTTCCTGATGTGTGATATTTCTCATTGCTGCAACCCTAAAACTATCTCACGACTTATTCCTAATTGTCAGTACATTTGTTCTAGCTACTGTAATCAATATGGCATGTGACAGGAAAAGGGGGAAAAAATCCTTTTGAAATCAAACTCCAAAACTGAATAATTGCAGCTGGTGTGGAGGAAACACTGAAACAATCCCATCTGCTTCTTGCTATTTTAATGGAGAGGCATCACATAATGATGGCCCTGTAGAATTCATCAGATTATTTAAAAGGAGCACACAATAGAGATGTTGACACACCTCTATTTTAAAATATTTGCACTGGGTGACAGGACTATGGGGATGTAACTGCCCATTAATTATAGCAGCCATCTTCCATGCTTTTCCTTTCAGAAGATGAACAAGGCATGATAGAAGCCCAGTACTTCATGCTAATAAATTAGAGCCAGGCATAGTTTTCAAACAAACAAACAAAAACCAACCAAGAAGATGAGTTGATGGAAGTTTTATCTCTTTCTCTGTAGCTAACTTATCTTGTCAGAGTTGGCAAAGCCACCCTTTC